GTACAGTCATTTGAAATGTATCAATACTGTCTGGGTTTCTTGCTGAGGATTTTATCCAGCTCACACTTGCTCTTTGCCTCCAGAAGTGACTGTGTAAAACTTGACATGTCTGTGGTGTTAGATCACAGCACAGTGTTCCATTAGTCTTCTCCAGATTTAAATTCTAATGATTTTCTTTTTCAAGATCCACAAGTCCAACAAGTTTTGTTACTTAAAAAAGTCAGCTCTGTAGAGGTTTGACGTGTGTGTAGCATTTCAAGTGAAGGTGCAGAAACCTTTTGGAATGTCAAAACACTGAGGCAGGACAGGAGGCAGAGAAAGGTCTCACCTGCACAAGAAGCTTGCACAGAGTTGCTACAGGGGAGGGGGATTTGGGTCACAGAACTGTGCAGAGGTGGGAAGGAAATGGCAGAGGACTTGTCCTCTCCTGCACATCTTCTCCTTTTTATAGATACATTTTATATTGTTGGCTTTTCGCAAATATTAAAATGAATGTTATGTGTATAAGAATGAGAAATTTTGTTGTATTAATACAGTTTTCTTTATTTCTGTTATTGATGAAATTTAGAAATAGTAGTATAATACATATATGTTAGGCTATGGCATAGTATTAAAATAAAAACTGCTTTTGTTTGTATAACCCAAAGACTGAAGAAAAAATAATAGCTAGAGAACTCCTGCATTTGTAAACTCTCTTATCCAGATGAAGACAGCAGTGACCAGAACTCTGGGGGAGGAATTTATTGCATTTCTGGTATCAGGGAATGTAAATCTCGATGGTGCCAAGAGGATTGATCTATTGGGAAGGGGGCAAGAAAAAACGAAACAGAAGAACACCAAAGATCCTAAGAAGAATGTATGAATATGGATGAGAATTTATGGATATGCAGTAGGGTTCTGTTTTTAAGGGACAATCCTTTGTCAGCAAGGTGTGCTCTCTTGGCTGAATGCAGAGACACCCGGCTGTATCTGTATAATTTACTTTATTTTTTTCTCCTAATTGTTTTTTCATTAAACTTTTAAATTCTATAAAAATTATGTGAACCTCGTTTTTCACATCCTGGAGAGAACAGAAGGTATGTACAAACTCAGAAATTTCAGGTTCATTTTTTACTCCTGCCTTTTCCCCAGTCTTCAGCAATTTGGCCATCTGTGTTAATCCAGTTTCTCACCAGAAACAGCTGCTCTCTGCTGCCCTGAGGAGCTCTGCTCTGCTTTTTGTGGAACTCTGAACAAAGCCATCTCTTTGTTCTGTCCCCTGCAGTTGTAAAAAAGAACAGTAATTTAAACACGCTACAGGAGGTTTATGCAAGCCTAAAAAACACCTTATGGACAAGAGTTTTGTGCTGTTGTTTCTTCAGTTGGTTTTACTGTCATGAAATTTGCACAGCAGCTGCAGTGCCACGGGCTCAGCATGGACAGTATGTACCACACTGGATGGAACAAAACTTAAAACCAGATACAGACTGCCAGCTCCGTAATTGTTACTTTGAGGGAAACCCTGAGTTTTTGGAGTGGGTTTCTACTGGTCTTTTTCTCTCCAAAGGTGAATATAGATGGCAATGCTACCTGAATTTCCATGAGATGAAGTTATAGAATACCAAGGGAGAAAAGAAGGAGATGTTAGTTTCATTTTTCTCTTGTTAACAGGAGATTTTTACTAGAAGTGACAACTCAGGTTGTGTGAACTCAGCAAATCATATTCTTTAGAATAAAATGTCTTGAGCTATCAAACCACCTATTTAACATTTCTGTATGTCCTAATATTTACCTAATAATTAACAATTAAGATGTAATAGTTCTATTTAATTTCTGTGGTAAGAGCATATCTTGGGAAAATAAGGTTAATGACAAAGTAAGATATTTGAGTGTCAGAATTTTGTGTTTCTTGTTTCTCAAAACTGCCTTTTAGATGGGGGTTTGAGTATTTGGTGAGGATGAGTACAATCCTGTCTATGAAAATTTCTGGCAAATTAAGAAGAAATGTAGTCGAAGATATTCTTATTTTCATATATGGTTTGTAAGACAGGGAGCTGTTGTGCAAGAATGTTCTGAATCAAACTTTGTGAAGTTTGTCTCTCCACACTTTTGGTCAGCTGGTTTCTGAGCAGGTGTGGTGGCTGGAGCTGTGTTCTTACACAGGAGTCTCTTGTGACAGGAGGAGGAGGAGTGTTTTGTCATGAGAACTGTAAATCAGGCAGGAGCCACAAAATCCATTTAAATTTAGGTTCCACTAATTCAGCTACTCTCAGAGCTGTTTTCTCTGATTGATCAGCAAACTCTGTTTTCTATGAAAATGGCAGCATAACAAACTGCATGGTGTGTATTCAATATTTCCTCCTTGGTCAACAGAGCATCCTTGTCCTGCAAGGACAGACCAACTAGAAGTCAGTTTACAAAATCAAAGTGACACAAGTGTAGCATTAGCAGGACAGAATAAGGTGGTCAGGAGAGATATCCACTCTTAATTAGTACATGCCTCTCCCTCTGCAGAAAAAAAAAATAGCATAAAATTAAAAATAACTTATGATTAATGTGCTTCATGAGTTCAGTTTGCAAACACACACACAAGTAACAAGAGCTTGTCGCAGGGTCACATCCAATTGTGTCACTTTGAATGATATTCATACACATTCATTTGGCTCCAAGAGTTACAGTTTGATTCATGTTCATCCCAAGTCCAAAATTTTGGGATAGATAAAATACCTGTGTTATTTCCATATAAAGTTGATGGCAACGAAGTGACACTGCAGTCAGCAGATCCTTTCTCATTATTGCCCCAGTATTTGACCAGCATTCTTACTGAATATGCAGTGTGTGTTAATTAGCATTAGCTTTTAAAAATATGTGTAAGGAATATTTTCTCCCATCAGAAAAACAAAAATTATTGCTCAGAAACCCAGTAATCAAATATTTGATTATTTTTGTGTAGGACAAGTAGTCTCTTATTAGGATTATGCACTTCTATGAAGGTGCAGATTTAATCTATTTTATGATGAAAGATTAAACCCACAAATCCCATTTAATAATGGATTTCTGGCAATAAGTAGCTATGTCATTTTATGGCTAATATCCAACATGAGAGTTAATAGTAAGGACACACTTGAACCTGTTCCACAGTGAACTTGAATATTGCCTGTAAGGCAGGAATCAAACACTGTGGGGAACATGGCTAAACATTCTTGGAATGGATAAGTTGTTTTGCAGTGATTTTTCTAATTATTGGTTAATTTATCTGCTTAGTTTCAGAGTAGATTTCTTCAGACTAAAATGTCCATGTAAAGCATTTATTGGAAATTCCTGATGGTCAGTTCTGGTTCTTTTATGTTACAATATTTCTTTGTTACAAATAATATGTGCACTTGGTTTGAAATGGCATTTCTGCAGTACATTTGTTTGCTGCTATGAAACTTCACATTAGTATAGCTTTTGAGTTACACAGTTTATTTGTATTTTTGGGATCTGGAAATCTTGTGGGGAGTTTTTTTTTTAGTTGTGCTGGTTGGTTTGATTGTGTCTTCTGTGGATTCTGTCCCCCTGAGTGTGCTGACACAGTTTTAGTAGTTTAGCCATTGGATATTACAAATAGAGCAGAAGGTGAAGCACTGAGGTGCTCTGTAAACTCTGAGTGACATGTTGGAAATCAACGTGGTTGAATAAAAACCTGTTAACCAACTTGTGAAAGCATGAGTCAGATGGGACTTGGAGGAGGATTTGCTGCACTGGGACTATTCTCCAGTGGTGTTGTGCATATTGTCCAGTTTGCATAGTTCAGGAGGCAGCAGTGGTAGAACCCAGAGGTTCTGTCAGATATCTGGGGATCTGAGGTGTTAACAGTTGAGTGGTAAATTTATGTATATGTTCTGCTTCCAAGAGTGGCAGTGATTTGAAGCCATATTTGGTGGTTTAACTAATACTCAGAGGTAGAAACACAATAAAAGTTTTAGAGATTAATTCAACATGCCCAAACTCCCAAAACCTTCTGTACAAAACCTGACAAACCAAGCACTTTAGTATAAAATATTAATGCTGTGACCTTAGTATGAAAATACAGAAAAATTAGCAGTTACCACATTTGCTGATATATTAGAAACATAACAGTAGCAATAGATGAATAACTTGTTATGAGCAGTTAATTTTAATCAGTTTATTGGTATGTTAGCCTCTGGGTTTTGGAGAGTGAAGGGTTTCCTCTTGGAGGAGGGAGGGCACAGGGCTGTCTATGTCTTATAAACATGTTCCTTTTATTCTTCAGGCAAATGCAGTAATACAAACTCCGCTGAATAGTTTTAAATTGACATAGGGTTTCCAGAGCAAGACAAAAATGTATGTGTTGTCTGGATTCCGTCCAAAGCATCTTTAGTTCTGAACTGGCTTAGGCCAGAGAGACAGGATGTTCCACAGAGCAAAAACCATGTGATTAAAGAACACGAACAAACACAGAGTATATTATTAACAAAACACCAGACTGCATTTCATGTTGGGTTTTCTGGCTGGTGACCCATGGAGTTGACTCAAAAAGTTAACAGAGACAAAGGTCCAGTCTGTTCTAACATAACTAATAATCACAAAAGATTCTCTGAAGCCTTCTCTCCTGTCTTAAAGAGCTGTTCACACAGGTCCTGACAGGGGTATAAATACATCCCAGTGAGATTCCGTGCTCAGGAACATGTCCTGAGAGGGTGTTGCAGCATCTGCTACAGAGGGGTTTTATCTTGATTCACCATTCTTTATGTGTCTAGAAATTAGGCTTCCTGTTGCCTCCAGGCTCATCATGCTGTCAACAGTATCTTCATTTCTCCCTTGTGTTCTGACTCACATGCCTGTCAGTGCCATCCTGTCTGTCCTACTTTGTGGTCTCTTCCATGTTCAGGATGTGGCTGAATCCTCCACATCCTGATCAGCAGCTGTCTAGGCCACGATCTGTGTGGGCAGACTTTGAGTCACTCTGTTTTGTGGTGAGGATGCATGTAATTGAGGCACGAGGTGAAGGGTGTATGGTGTTTGAAGGCTTGTGGAGCACTTGAAAAAAAAATTTTGATCATAAGCAGGTAGATAAGATGGAGTAGTCTTGGCTGGTCATGTCTGCCCTTACAGAAGATAATTGTAACAAAATTAACATTTTTTGCAATTGTTGATAGTGTTGGGAAGTTCTGCTCCTTAGCATTGCAAGCCTTTGACCCCAGAACCCGGAGAGATCCGTGAATCTTCACAGTGTAAGTATTTTACTTGCTGTATTTTCCTGAAGAATAAAAGAAACCTCTTTATAAGAAATAGAAACAGATAGCCCTGCGCCCTCTCTCCCTAAGAGGAAACACTTCACTCTCCAAAAGTTTCTTCAGGAAATTCAATCAGTGTTGCAGTGTCTGTTTCCCATCCTGTCCACATTTATGCCTTTTCCTGGGAGGCTGCACTTCTACTCTGCTCTGCTGGCCAAGGGCTGACATGCCAGTGAGCCTGGGAGCGTGTGTGAATCCTGGGGGTCTTCTACAAAAACTGCATTGTGCTCTCTGCACAGCGTGTGGGTCTCGGGAAAGGGAACATCAGACCCATTTTCGTTCACTTTTCACAGAAGGTTACTTTGTTACAAACGGACTTATGTATTTGGGGTCGTCCTTCCCAAGGTCACACAAATATTATCATTTTTTCCATTGGTATTTAACGCTTTTAGCCAAATGGAGAGCTGTAGCTGCAGTTTAATTCCTCTTTAGTGTTCCAGGCTCATTATTTTAAACATGCATTTTAGCCAGGGGGGAAAGGAGCTGTGGAAGCAGTGGGTGTTAGATCCCTGACAGCGAGGGAAGATGTTGAAGATGACAGCTTTTCCTGTAGTGCCCAGAGCATCAGCGAGGAGCTGTCTCCTCCCTCGCAGAGCAGCCAGCGGCCTCCCCACCCCAGCCCCGCTGTTAGTCAGCAGATGCACTCCGCTCTTCCGCATCCAGAGCAGGAGATATTGTTAAAGCGCTTCCTCGCTCTGCTTTGTTAAGTAATTCTTCGTTGTTAATGCTGAAAGGGAGATTTTCCCGAGGCGCTCCGGGCAGGAGATTGATTTGAAAGCAAGGAGAGGTCTGTGGCACGTCCCAGGGCTCCGGGGGGCGGCCCTGGGCCTGAGTCACGGAGCTGCAGAACCGGGCGGGCCGAGCTCAGGGACTGCGCTGACTGCACCCCGAGCCGGCAGCGGGACAGCGGCAGGCCCGGGCTGAGCTCAGGGACAGCGGCAGGCCTGCACCGAGCTCACGGCCAGCACACGGCTCCCAAAGCGCCTGCCCGCCTTCCACCGGCCTCTGGCGGCAGCAATGGCGTGGCAGGAGCGGGGAAGGGCCCTGAGCTCGGCGCTGTGTGCGGGTTTGGGCCGCAGTGCCCGGCAGATGCTGAGGGGCAGCAGCACAAGTCCTGTGAGGAGCGGCTGAGGGAGCTGGGGTTGTTTATCCTGGAGAAGAGGAGGCTCAGAGGAGACCCCATCACTCCCCACAGCTCCCTGACAGGAGGGGCAGCCAGGGGGGATCGGGCTCTGCTCCCAGGGAGCAGCAACAGAAGGAGAGGACACAGGCTGTAGCTGTGCCAGGGGAGGCTCAGGCTGGACACAAGGAAGAAGTACTTCACAAAGAGCGGTCAGGTGTTGGAATGAGCTGCCCAGGGAGGTGGTGGAGTCACGGTCCCCGGAGGTGTTTAAGGAAAGCCTGGATGTGGCACTCAGTGCCATGGTCAGGGTGATGAGGTGGTGTTGGGTCACAGGTTGGACTTCATGATCTCAGAGGTATTTTCGAGATTTTTCTGTGATTGCCTCTCTGAGAAACACTATTCAACTGCAGATAATTGGTAGTGCTCTGGTTTCCCCATGGATTTCCACCATTCATTTGTGTTGGGTCTGCACAACTGCTTTATAAATGTGGAAATGTGCTTGAAAGCTGATGAGCTTCCAACACAAAATAAAACCTACAGCATTTGTAGATCTCAAACACTAGAACTGTGGGCTTTTCTGTGAAGCTCTTGTTCAGGTTTGCATGTAATAGTGAAATTAAAACTTGGCATTTCTTTCAGGCTCATTTAGAGAAATTGTCCTTAGGTAATGTAACAATTAAAGGACCAGATTATCCTTCAGTGCTTACATTCTTCAAAAAAGGGCAAATATTTCAGAATCCTGTAGCAGTCAAGAGGTACCAGTGAAGTCAGCTGGCCTAGAAATTATTTCATGTGTCTTTGGTATGAAAATGCATTGAAGTTTCACAACAAAAAGGCAAACATAACTTACTGTGACCTGTTTTCTAGCCTTGGGACAAGATTAAATTTGAACTGGTGACAGGTATCAGAGTATTTGCTTAAGCAAACAGAGTAAAAGTTAGGTTAAGTCTTTTGGAATGTTCAGTCACCCATTTCTGCATGATTTGCATGATAAAATCTCAAAGAATGGAATAGAAACACTTTTCATATGTAAAGTAACAATCAAGTTCTTGCAGAATGTTCTACCTTCATACTGAGATGTTCTGCAGATTTTTCTGTATGTTAGGTGGAGTTAATAGGCAAATTTATCATCTTTAAGGCAGTTTTCTGATGGTATCCCAAACAGATTAAGCTACAATTGCATTTCCTTAATCCAAACATTTTGAAAGTAAAATTGCTTTTACTTGGAGTTCTGTCACTACTGATGTCACAGTATTTTGTTTACTAGCAGAGAAGTTCTAGTCAGAGGCCATAAGTAACATTTTGTTTTGGTCTTTTTGTCTCTCCTTGCAAAGCCTTTCCATTTCTTAATGACACTTAAACTTATTCCTGTTTTTTAATAGATTTTCCATGGTGCAGACTTAAGAGTTATTTTGGCTATTTCTTGGCTATTGTCTCTAAATACTTGAGAGAGGTCTTAGTCCTGGATTGTCCTGTTTGTACTTCTAAAGATTAGTTTTTCTCTTTGACCTATGAAGCTTCCTTATTTTTCAATGACTTGCAGAAAATGAGCATTGGCAATGAGGTCTTCAGACATCTCTCCAGGATGCTGATTCAATAATACCCCGTTTTTAGTACTACTTTCTAAATATCACTCTGAGTTTGTTTTAAGCTATGGTATGATATATGATATGCATCATTCCAAAAAAGAAATAACTATGAGAAATACCTACATTTTCTGTATTACTGTGGGGAGATTTTACCCTATAAAAATCATAGTGGGCAATCTGATTATTACAGATGTTTTCATAGATTTGTCTGCTGAAAGGTAGGGGGTTGTTTTGGTTTGGGTTTCTTTTCCAGTTCCTCACTGCCTCTTCTGTTATCTGTTTCCCAAGCTGGTTACTTATAATTGCTGCTATTTTTAGTTTCTTTCTGGCTTTCATTAATCTTGAATATCCAAGATTGTCATTATGACATTTGAGATAAATGTTTTCTAATTAAATTCACCTCTTTTGAACTGCCCTGATTTAAAGGATCTGTCTAAGAAAAGATGTATTCTAAATATAATTTGTCATTGCCAAAGATGCACCTTTTCCTGACACAGATTAGTTTCTTGTTTTTCAGGTCAAAGTAACATCCAGTCAGGCTTTGCATGGCATGAGGCAGAAACAGGATTTTCTAGCATGGTGAGTACTTGTAGAATCAACAGGCTGATGATTTCTAATGACCAAGAATTCAGGAGACACTGCATCTTAAATACGAGCAAAAGGGGGCCAGTAATCTGCCAAGTAAATTCTGTTTCACCCCTACATGTTTTAGAGGTGGCTTCAGGGAGGAATTTAGGAAAGGCTCATTGTGGAATGACTTAATGTGAGCTCTCATGAGGATGGAAAGGAGCACTACCAGGGGGAAGTTCACAAATAGAGGTTGAAGGAGCTGTTTAAAATTATAATATGGGTAGGGATTTAATGATGGTGTTCATGAGAAGACGTTAAGTAGGGATCATGTAGCAGAGGATGTTTTTCCCTTTAGTACTCATTGATTTCAATTGTAAACTCTTTCATTACTTTGTTAGATGTAGACTTTTCCATCCTCTTTGTAATTTTTTTTTTTTTCCTTCCTGAGAACATAGACCAGAGTGTCTCTTTTACTGGGTTTTAGTTTGCTGTTTTTACAGGCAGTTGTCATTCATTGGTTCCAGGAATAGCTAGGAAAGATCTTGCAAGGTCACAGAGTTCCTCTATGTTAGCTCCTTGGCCCAAGGCATGATCTAATAACATTAACATGCTCTCAAGCATCCTGGCAGACAATCTTAAAAGTCTTCAGTGATACAGACTCTCCTATACCCCTAAGCAATTTTAAATTATTTTTAATAGAAGTTTTTGCCCACTAGCTTATAAATGAGAAATATAAATAAATAATCTAACATGATTTCATAAATTGTACAGGAGCACTCAGGTTTTGACATGAACAGCAGAGACACAAGTTTGTGAACTTGACTGTTGTATTTATGAAAGAAGGAATGATTAAATTATGTGTAGTTTGCTGCAGTAATGGTTACAGGCATTCAGTTCATTGGAACTGGAGCCCTCTGAGATATGGTCTGCTGATGGACAAGAGTGACATCCACAGGCCTTCAGTCAATCCCACTCTGCCCCAGGATAGTCAATAAATGCCACTTTAATGGCATCCTTTCCACTGGCTTCTTGGGTAAAGAAAAACAAGAGTATAATGTTCAGTGATGCAGCAGATGTTTCAAAGTCCTCCTCAAGGAGGAGATTACTCTGCTACCTAAATTAGGCACATTACAGAGTTTCAGAAATGCAAAAAGAAATGTCCAAGCTAGGTTTGAATTGGCTAAGAAAATTTTGGATTTAAACCACATTGGTGAGACATATAATACTGGCTTTACCAGAGTTTTATGGTCTTTTATTTGTCTGGTACCTGTTCTGTCCCTAAAACACAAGGAGCAAGGAGCAGAGCAGGAGAGAAAATACAATTGGATGATGCACTTGGTTTGCTGTAGAGGAATCATTTACCTTTGCATTGCTTACTTGTCTCCTATCTGGATTACCATGACCTGCAAGGGAGCATTCCTCTTCCACAGCCAAGGCATTGAGGCAGAGTTAATTGAGCAATTAAATTATCAGGTGATGGAAATAAAAAATCTCATCCTCTTAGAAGGGTTTAGCAATCTGGCTCCTTTCAGTTTCTGACTTACTATTATGTAATGTGTGTGTTGCTACCCGGGTGCACTCTGTGCAAAACAAAGAGGGAAGCAGCTGCTCTGACTTAAGCTTTAGAGGACATGACATCCATGACTTCTGTCAACTGACCACAGAAGAAGTTGGGGTTTTTGAGGAGAAACTGTGATTGTGAACAGTCCATTTAATAGGGCCTCCCTTCCCAACTGGTCCTTTCTGTGTAGTCTTCCATCAGGAGTTTGTAGCAGTGGCTGAGATAACAAACACATAATAAACCCTTCCTTTCCAGTTGGGTGTGTTGCACCTGCAAGTATCCATGAAGGGATGAGAAAAGTCAGGCGTGTTTATACAGAGTTGCAAAGGGAAGAAAATTCCATTTTGGAGAAGAATAACAAAGGTAATGATTGTCTTAGTGAAGGTCCATTTGGTGTGACAAGTAGAGGCTATGATATGCATCATTCCAGAAAATAAATAACTATCTAAAATTCATCTGAGATGTTGATGTGATGTTTGGCTTTGCCAGCTGTCCAGCTTGGTAATTCTGGGAGTGATACATGTGATAAAAGCACATCAGAATTCTAGATCCCACTTCCTGTACAGAGCTACCAGTACACAGATTGTAGCTACAAAATTGATAATGGTAAAAATCACATCTGTCCATAGCATGTTTCTGCCCTTTTGAAATTTTCAAGGGAAATTAATTCTGAGGAGAGATCCAGACTCAGTGTTGTCCAGTATGCTTTAAAGCTGAGGGAGAGACTAGCCCTGGTCATCTCTCCTGCTGAGGAAAATGTGTGCACAAAGTTTCCAGGAGCAATATTAAGACTGTGTACTCCTGTATCTGAGAACTGGCTCTCTAGGCTTTATTTTTAGTGTGATCCATGGCAGGTAAAGGGTATGGTTTCACTGTAGTTCATGGACTATATTTGGTGGTAATGTTTCTCTTTCAGCAAGTGGGTGGCTTGAGGAGCTGTGCAAAAGTTGCAGCAAGACACTTTTATCAAACCTCTTTATCTCCTATCCAACTTGCCCAGAGACAAAATAGTGACAAAAGTCTACTTGTATAAATATACTAATTTTCATCTCTGTCATTCAGCTGTGAAATCTGATCACTGGACCCCTCAGTGAAGACATCTGCTTGATACTTACAATTTAAACAAGCCTATATTCTAGTGTCTTGGGATGTTCACTTTATCTTTCATCAAAAAGTTTTCCCATTTTATTGCCTCCATGTAACCTGATCACTTAAGCCCTTGGATTTTTAATTAAAAAAAACAGGTGTGGGAGGTTGGAAGCATTTGCTCCTTGTGCATGGGAAGGTTGTCAGTCTCTTGGCCCATGTGAAAATGAGAGCCAAGGGAATATGATCTGTTTGAAGGAATTGGCTTGGGGTTATCATGTCCTCTCTCACCCTAACACTTCAGAAGATTTTCTTGACTTTGCAAGAGATGGTAACTTGGCTTGATGTGGAGGGGATGTGATCTAACTCTGTCCCTACTGTCTTTAAGAAGGGATTGTTTAGATAGGCTCTCATCCTTATGGCTGCAAGGGACCAATACTCTTATGGGCTGAGCTTTCATAAAGTTCCATCCATGTTCTCTCTTCCTGTTAGACTAACACATGATCCAGAGACCTGTGCATGTCTACTGCTTCTCTTGGTAGCTTATTGCATCAACTGATCTCTTCTAGCTCTGAAAAACATTTTATTTGTAATTTCAATTTTTTTAGCTTTAATTTTTTGGCCCTAGGTTGAACCAGATGCTTTAGAAGCTCTTGCTGTGTGTCTCATGCAGGAGTTCAACAGATAAAATTCTTTAATTAGATTACTGCAAAATCTTTTTAAGCTCCTAAATAATTTCTGTCATTCTCCACCCTGAGTTTTTCAATAGTATTTTTCAGTTTTGTACCCTAGAGCTTGACTCAGGCTGCAGTGTCATTTTCATCTGTTCCAGGCCTAGAAGGGAGAATACTCCCTGCTGGATAAGATATTCCAGGGCTGCAGTCAGACCCCTTCAAGTAGCTCAGCCTCAGAAGAGAAGAACCAGTTGCTCATTTATCATGTTCAATGTTCAGACATAAAACTAACCTAGAAGTGGCATTAAACTTTCATATAGAATCAAACCTGTGGATTCTCAGCAAGCTCTGCTAGACCTACGCCCAAAGAGATGATAATTTTACTGATAAACTGAGTAACTGTTTACCTGCAAAAATCATTTCTTCCTCATGGGAGAGAGAAAAAATAAACAAACAGGAAGTCAAACTACAGCAAGCCTCTTTTTATTACACCAGACGGGAGATTAATTATATTATATTGAGGTCTGACCTCCAATTTTGTATATAAAGGTCATGGCTCTTGTTGGAGAGATCAATTAATATATCAGAGTATCAGGCTCAATGCAGAAATACCATCCAAAGAGCATCAAGGGCACCTTTGCTGCTGTTTATTTGCTGTAGCAGATAGTTAATCTGTTTGCTACCTGTTCTATTTCTCTTGCTCAAGAGCATTAGCAAATGTTTATTTGACAGAATGTTCTGTTCATCTCCTATTTTTTTTTAAATCTTTTTTTTTAACCTCTTCTGTCCTAAGAGAATGAAGGCAAATCCCAGAGCAGCTCCAGACTGGAAACATCACGTTGCAAGTTGGACCATAGTCAGAGCAATTTTGTTACTGCTGATGGGGAAAGAGTAGAAAACAATGGGCTGCCAAACAGAGAAAGAGCCTTTAACTAAGAAATCAGAGGAGAGGAGATGCTTTACAGCACTTTGAGTCACCTGAAAACACTCAACAAATTACATGGCAAGGTGAATAGAAGTACAAGGCAGACTTGTGAGTAGCAGCAACTAATGTCCACTGTTGGAAACAGCCCTGCTGCCTGACCTACTGTGGCTGCCCTCCTGTTGTTTTAGTGGGAGGTTGGGCTTGAAGGATCTCACTCAAAAATATCCAAAGCACCCAGTGCTGGTCCCAGAGGAATTGCTTTCCAGTAGACCAATTCATTCATTTTCTTCTAATGCTGTTCATTCAATGTCCACTGAAAGTGTGGCACATCTTACAAATCCCTATCATTCTTTTATGTACATATGAAGCCAAGCAAGTGGCAGCTGCCATTGCTGGTTAACACTTGAAAATGACAGAAATCCTGGTTGCTGCTGGCAGAAGGGGAGTGGGAAATGATAGGAATGGCAAATGACAGGCTAGCAAATAACTTGTCAGAAACAAACATTTATATGATTCATGGTGGGTGCTAGAATGCCACTGTCAGAGGTGGACATTTAGGAGGGAAACAAAATAATGATAAGATGTTAAACCCCTTCATCTCTTTTGCTGTGTTCCAGGAAAAAGTAAATTTTATTCATAACCCAACAGATGTTTTCAGATTTAGTTCCTACAGGACAATTTGCTTAGCCATATACTCTTGTCCAGTCAGAATGCCCTGGCTTGTCTCTGTGGTTTGGATTCTGGTGTGTTTGAGGGTTACTCTGGTGTTTTAGGCAGGCATAAGCCCTAAAAGAGACTGACAATCTTTGAGAGCAGCCTAGTGATGTCCTTTTCCTCTCACTTCAGCTCTGTCCTTTTCTCTGCTTTCAGTGGATGCAAGAGGCAAGGAAGGCTGCCTGGCTTTGGGGAAATCCAGGAATAGTATGGTACCTGTCTGTATCTGTTTACACCAAGTGGCTGTCATGAATCCCAACATCTCAGTCTCCATAAAGTATCTGATTGTTTGGGATGGAATGTAGATATCTACATGTAGACATCCAGCTAGTCTCTACCTTTCTGTTAGATATTTTCAGGCAGAAAGAGGATGACAGCCCCTGCCTCTCCTGTCTGACAAGCACTCTGCATGGGTGGAAGAGGCTAAATTAAAACCAGCAGAAGTGGACTTTCCGGTTTTTCTTGATAACTGGGGTAAAGGAGAGAAGGGAGCAGTCTGTGCACTGCAATTAACATCAGGTGCTATTGCAACTCATCCTGTAATGCGATATAGATACAATCTCAGCAGAAAATTGAATGCTGCGCTGAGTCAGAAACAGCAATGCTGGGTTTTGAAGAAAGTAATTAGCCCCAGGGACCCAGTGGTTTCTCATTTCCCCTGTGGCAAACACAGGGAAGTGGGACAGTATTTCCTGTAGGCTTCCAAAGTCAATTTAGACAAGGTACAGAGCCAATTTATAAATCAGAGTTTTAACGAATACTTAGCAAGAGGCAGGCACACCTTCAGTCTTCCTGCAGTGCTCACCAAGTATCATCCAGTGCCATTCTGCTTTTCTTTTTGTGAGCTTTGAGTGCCCCATCTCTGTCTGGGCACTGAGCCAGCCCAAGCCCCTGCTAGAGAACACAGTCGAGTGCAGCAATGCTTTGAAAGTGTGTGACAGACCAGTCAGGGTCACTGTTCACCACCCTCTCCCATGGCCAGGTGCTGTGACCTGTGCTCACCTCACCACTTCCTCCTGTCAGCCCTTGGTGCAGCAGCAGCCCAACCCTTCCTTGTGCTGCCTTGCACTTGGCCTTCACAAAAGCAATGGTTTGAGGTTTTGCAGAACTCACTGATAACGAATTCTGATTTTTTTTTTTTTTCTCCAGCATAAGATCAGAAGTGCACAGAAAAAAGACTCTTGGTAGCCAAGAAAATAATTAAGTTTAGAGCTCAAATATATACAGCCTGTGCCTGCTCTGGGTTACTGCAAGTTCCACCATCCAGGATTCTTGATCCTGCTTTCCTGACATAGCACTTGTCACCTTTCAGTGGTTTGTCACATACAGAATAAAATCTGCAGGGCCTCTGGGGCATAATCACATCCTTGTCTTGTGAAATGCATAGTGAATTTGAGGCACTGCAGTGAAATGAAATGCTGTATTTCAGTGAGTTTGCCACACTGGTTTGTGTGCTCCTGCACCTCTTTCCCTGAAGCTGTGCCCAGCAGAAACAGCCAGTATCTCGTAATAATAATAATTTGTATCTTACATGCCAGCAATTAACACTTTTGTTCAACATTTGTCTAGAAGTGTGTGACCAATGTAGCCTAGTCTGTGTGTTGCCTCAGAGAAGAGTTTTTCCCCAGCCTTCTCTCATTCAGTTGATGGAAAGACAAAATATGATAAAGGTCATAATCTAAAATATAATAATTTTCCTGGTTTTGTATCTTAAAATACTGGTCACAGGAGTTTGCTTAGGAAGTAAATGCAAATCTCATCATTTGGACTCTTTAAACTGTCATGGCCTTCTGATCCCAAACACATTCTTAATCTTCTGGATTCTCTAAGTGCCCTCTAGTGACTAATTCCCTGAGCAGTGTTTTCATTGTCGGTGAGAGAGCAGCCATTGGAGGGGTGCTTGGTGAGGGC